AAGAGGCCCTGGGCCTAATTTGGATTTTTTTTGGAACACGTGCAGGTACTGTTAGTGTGTTTCAGTTCCCCGGGAAAAATTCAGGGAAAATTAGGGACAGCCTGCAGGCGCACTGTGAATCGTATTCGGATCTCGAAAACAAGTAAGGACCCCTCACCCTATTTCCTATCACGGTATTAAAGTTCAAAATGATAAAACGGTATTTCTTAAATTAACGCATGTGTGAAATTGCTTAAGGTTGCTAATGGAGCCCGAGTCTAGTGTGATTGGTGATTTACTGTTATTTGGCCTGTTTACAGCTTTAAATGCAAAATGAAATTTGATGTGTTCATTTTACAGATTTGTGTGCATATACTACGTTTTTATTAATCATGGGTTGAATGACTGAAAAACTGATACTGTATGTTGTCTGTTTGGCATGAATTACTGTTTGCTTGTTTAAATGTGAATTGATGATGCTGATTGAGGAAAAGGAGAATGAAAGATTGTGTAGACTGATGATTGTATTATGGGGGTCAGCCTGACTAGATATCCTGGGAGATGGGGGACGGACCGGGTCCGTAGGGAACCCTACCGGGATTGTGGTCTCACATGCCGGACGGGGTATGGAGATTTTATGGTTTTGGCGCCCATACCGGACGGGGTATGGGGACGGCCCGTTTCACCCTCATACCGGACGGGGTATTGAGGTTTATGGTTTTGGCGCCCATACCGGACGGGGTATGGGGACGGCCCGTTTCACCCTCATACCGGACGGGGTATTGAGGTTCATGGTTTTGGCGCCCATACCGGACGGGGTATGGGGACGGCCCTGGAAACTGATTATGAATGTTAAAGGTTAACGGGTAGCGGAACCCCTATGGACCCCCACGGATACTAGTAGGCTGGTAAATGAGAAAAAAGATATGTTGTACAATGATTGTATTACAAGAGGCGTGATAAGTGTCATGTTTTACAGCTTAGATTATTCAATGATTATGATAATGTTATTGTTTTCTCATATTGTTTTCATAAATTCCACCAAGGTAAGTGGATGGTAAAAGTTTTATTATTGATAAAAGGTTTTGTTGTAAATTATGCTCCATTGGTCTTTTTGTGGTTTTCTACCCACCTTTATCTCCGTGACGGTGAGATATCGTGATGTTCTTACTGGGCTAGTGTAGCTCACTCCTTAATTAACCATTTCAGATCAGGAAGACATGGTTCCCGAGCCCGTTCCGCAGGAGGGCGACGAAGGGGATGCCTAGAGACTCTGTAGTCATACGCATAGTTTATTTTCGAGTTTTCTTTCTTAGTTAGTTTAACCTTTTATATTTTAAGTACGTTTGTTTGGTTTTTCGTGTAAGGGATGTTAATTGAAATTTTGATCTCGCTTCCGCATTCGATATGATTTAAATACTCATTTCATTTTAATATTTTCCGGGGCCGTTACAGATACTCCATTCGGTATGAGGTAATGTTCACGGTAGGATTTTTTATGTACCCGATATGTCCACCATCTCCAAAGATATATAGTAAGACAATCATTCATCAATTCACTCAATCAAGCAATTTTTTATTTACATTTTAATTTTTTAGTTTCATAAATTAACCGTAAATCACGCAAGATAAACAATACATGCATCAAGAAAGTACAACTGAATCATTTAATCATTCTAATATATTATCACGCATTTAAATTTGTAAAATCAAACAATCAGTTAAATAGGACAAACAATAAATAACTGACCAGTTCCGACTACATTAGTAACCTGTGATTATTCTCGAAGTTTTCTAAATTACACAAATATCATATTATCGATCATTAAACTTCAATTCCATAACAGAGAGTAAGGTGAGAGATTCTTATTTAAATCGGTGTTTGAAATATCAAACTTTCTACTGCGCCTACTGACGGTTCTCAGATTTCTTGAATTTTTATGTTAAGATTAAAACACGCTTTATGTACCTAAAAAACCTCTCAAAACCCAAAATCGGTGTTAAAAATTCTTTTTTGGCCAATTTGGGGGTTCCGACATGGCGACACCACCGTGCTCCGGCGACAGCACTGCCACTCGCAACAGCAGTTTGCTTTGGTCTAGCTATTTTCGGTATGTTTTAGCCGGTTTCGACTGGTTTTATATCTATTCTTACGAGAAAATACATTAGAGGGGCTCGGTTGGCCCAAAAAAATAAAAACAGAAATCTATCGGCGGTAGAATTTTTCGATACAGTGGCTCTGCCGGTTCATGTTCGCAGCTGGGCATTTTTTTTTGCCAACCTATGAAAAACATAACGTTGAAAAAATCGCACGAAACGAGAAACGGAAAGGGGCTCATCAGAGGCGGTTGCGAGTTTTGCCCTTGGCGGTGCCGCTGAGTTTTTTCCACGATTTCCACCTCACTCGCTGTTTGTTTTATTCTGATATGGCTGCAGGGGTGCTCAAAATTAAATTTTGAGCGGGTTGAAGAATTTTTACCTTTTTCGGCAGTTGAAGGTGGCTCCGGTGCGGCGAGGGGCAGTGGTCAGCTCCCTTCTTCGGTGACTGGTTCTTCTTCTCCAGAGGGGGACTGGCGGTTAGGGTTCAGTTCTGTGTGATGCAAAATATTTATACCAATTTTGCATTAATATGGACCGTTTATCGTGTTTAATCTCGACCATTCAATCTCGCTGAGGAGAAAACAAATCTGGACCGTTCATCGCATTTGATCTCGACCATCCGATCACACATAAGGAGGAAACGAATTTTGAGTGTTCATCACGTTTGATCGCGACCGTCCCATCACGCTTGTGGAGGGAACGGATTCGGATCATCCACACGTGCGAGAAGATTTTTGGGCTGTCTGATCGCGGGGCACGCGGATCGCCAGCGTGACCTCCCGCGTGGCATCGAGTCAACGTGCCTTACCACACGACGCGCTCTGGTTCATCGATGCTGCTGACTGATCAGTTTTACATGGTAAAATTTTCTAAAATAGCGTTATGACATCCAGTTTTCGATTTTTCTTTAAAAAATACCATACAAACCCAAAATTTCACCAATTTTTTTTAAAATTATTTTTAATTTCATCCCTAACTTATTTTTTTTTATAAATTCAACAAAAATTAAAATAAATTAATTTAAAAATAAATTTTTTATATATTTAAAATGTTAAAATTGATCATAAACCAAATTCCGGACTCAAGTATTACACAAATGGAATTTCATAAATATTATAATATGTATTATTAATTTTATTAATTTTTATGATGAGGATATTTGACATTTAAGTTACACGGTATTTTTTCATCTCTAGAAATTAAAGATTAGAATTTCGATTATTATTTAACACACAAGATATATATATACATATATTATGTTGTATTCAAAAATTTTTCAGTAATTTATTTAAAAGTTAATTCAAAATTACTGTGAAATCTTACTTGAAAGTTAATAATAATAAAGAAGATTTTTCTTCTTCTAGAAAGGAAGGTGAAGAAATAGTACTTGAACTCCACTCTTGCTTAATAATGCAAATTAAAGTAGAATTAAAGTTTTATTAGAAATAAAAATAACTTTTATTATTAAAAGTTATATGTTATAATTCATCTAAAGTAATTTATTTATAATCTAACTATTATTTAATTTAACAACTAATATATTTTTTTTAATAAATTATTAATTCGAATCGAATTATGCTTCTGTGTGCATCCTCACTTTGAAATTTTTTATATTTTATTATGATTGATATATAAATGAATCATATAATTATTAAATATCATATATTATTTTATTAAAAAATAACATATTCACATAATGTACATCTTACAATATTAACAAAATCCCTCCCGCCATCAAAAGTCGAAGAGTTTAATAAAACTATCGTACTTTACTAACAAAAAAAACTCTAACCTAAAGTTTTATAAAATATTATATTCTGTCCTACTCTCTTTTAATTTTCAAAAACAAAGTTCTTGGAGCAAATTACTTTTTATTTAAATTTTAGTTTTACATTTCATAATTTAATTTCGTTCTATAAAAATACATATATTTTATTAATAAATATTATAGTACGTATAGTAAAATTTACATTAAATTTATTTATCGAAAAAATTCAACAATTTACGGTAATTATTTTATAATTATTCTATAACTTAAAATAACATACTAATTACTAGTAAAGAAATAGTTAATGTAACTTTGCTTTTACTTTTATTTTTAAATGTATACATATATATATATATATATATTTTATTTACAAAAATTGGCATACAATTCACCTAGCTACTTGAGGTTACGTGTATGAATCACGAGAGCCTACTTGCAACATTATAGCACTTGATGCCAGTTTTCTGACTTTTTCTTTTGTTTAATATTATATGTAAGTATATAGATTATATTTCTATACTGTTACGTACTTGATATTTTAATAAAAAATAATATAATTAATTTTATTATATAATCTGACTGCAACCTACAAAATGTATATTTTGTTGATGGTATTATTAATTGTAAAATATGCATATTAAAAATTATATATACAGTTTATATTTATGTTGAATAAATTTGTAATGGTCACAAAAATTAAAAAGAAACGTATATATAAAAATTATAAGTGCGAAAACGAAATAAAATATTATGATTAATATCATTTACATAATAAATAAAACGTATTAAACTAATGAAAAAATAAAGTAAATAAAGTAATTACATATATATTTAGTTCTTATTGTTTTTAATATTTTATATATCTAGCTATCAAACATTAATATTATTTTAGTGAGATCAATAATTTAGTTAATTACTATTGTTATAAAATTATAATAATTAAATTTAATTTTATTTTAAAAAATTATAATATATTCAAAATAAAAATAAAAAAAAAATTAACGACTGAATTATTATAATTAAAATTGTCACAAAGTTAATATATCCCATTTATTTAGTAAAAAACAGTAAGTAATCATATCCCTCGTGTGACATTGACTATATATACACACACATATAGTCCATACAAGAAAATCATACTCAACACAGCAGAAGTCCTAAACACCCATGAAAATGAGGTTTTGGTCCTTGGTTTTCTGTCTCTTATTATCTCCTCTACTTGGTAGCTCATCAGCTGAGCAGTGTGGCCAGCAAGCTGGGGGTGCCCTTTGCCCCGGAGGCCTATGTTGCAGCCAATATGGTTGGTGCGGCTCTACCGAAGACTACTGCGGAGATGGCTGTCAAAGTCAATGCAACCCCGGTGATTTAGGCGGAGTCGAAAGTATTATATCAAGATCAACTTTTGATCAAATGCTAAAACATAGAAACAATCCTGCTTGCCCTGCCAAAGGCTTTTACACCTACGATGCTTTTATCGCAGCGGCCAAATCTTTTCGTGGTTTTGGCACTACTGGTAGTACCGATGTTCGTAAAAGAGAGATCGCTGCTTTCTTTGGTCAAACCTCCCATGAAACAACCGGTAATTTATCAAGATCTATTAATAATGAAAACGATAAATCAATTAAGATAAATAATTCTGATCACACCTGAAAATTTTTTATTAAAGTATTTATACTTGCAGCTAGTCAAAATATAATTCTGTATGACTAGTTTAAAATGATCTGATGCATAGTACATATTGTTTGCTCTCAGAAGCAATATTGCAGACGGTAAGTTGAATTTCATTTTCTGGGTTCAATTATATATTACAGATCACTGTATATATATACATATATGTTTATTTTAGTAAGTTGGTGAAGTTAATGTTAAATTAATATAACGAACAGGAGGGTGGCCAAGTGCACCTGATGGGCCATATGCATGGGGTTATTGCTATCTTAAGGAACGAAACCCAAGCAGTAAATACTGCGCTCCAAGTTCCAGATACCCCTGCGCTCCTGGTAAATCATATTATGGCAGGGGTCCTATCCAACTTTCCTGGTAAGTATATATATATATA